ATTTAACTTTGCAAAGTTATAAATAATTCATGTAACATTAAATTTGAATTTTATGTAAATATTTCTTGGTATAAATATGAATTTATCATTTTGTTCAATTCTTAGTTTACATTTAACAAAAAAAATATCTTTTGTTATAAATATGAAAAATTCTATATTTTTATAATTTTATTTATACAATAATACGGGCCAAATCAGAACAAATCGCGACTCACTCAACCCGTGACCTGCATGGGCTCGACACAGATAGGTCAGTGGACGGGATTGAGTTGTAGTCCAAAATTTGTGGGTCGACCCGGAACACGTAGCGGGCGGGCTTTTTTCACGTTGCCGTTACCGGGCCCATATGTTAGTGGGCCGACCCGATCCGGCCCGGACCACCCGGATTGACACCTCTAGTTTATGTGCAAAATTATATTGAAATAATGAGACTCAAACAACGACTAAAAATAAAATCTCACGACAAGCGTCTTAAAATAATAACTAAATAATAAAGAATGGGATGGGATACTCCTTGTTTTGATGTTTAAAAATAAAATTGTGTGAATGATTTCACGTGTTTAAACTTGAAAGAGCATTTGGATACTTGCAAAAGAAACAAAATAATAGCGAGAGGGATAAATTCTAGCTTAGTTGATGGCAATGGAATGTATATTCTCTGAATCTTCGACTTATGCATGTAATTAACATTAATTTGTTTTTTGAGAATTTAATTGAATGTGAAAAGATAGTTGGAGGGACAGGTAGCCGCATACAACATTAATTACTATGTATATATGCACCCAACACAAAATATCATTATCCTTTTACATCAACATATTTTGTCCTAACAAATGGGATTTGTGAAGATGGGTTGCTACATTTTTATGGCCCAAATGAGATAAACCCACGTACCTAGTCCAACTATGTCTTGACCCAATAAATGGATGATTCTGAAATTGGATGAAAACGTATTTGATATATATAAACACACCTTCATCGGATGCTTGACACTTGGAATATTTCATACCGTTGGATGCGTGATATTGCTTTATCTCATATAATAGGAAGCAACTGTGCTTCTAGGATTAGACGAATATGGTTGTTCATCTTTCTCTGTCTTAGTGAAATTCTCTCTGTATTTTTAGGTCATCAACTGGATGATCTTTGTGAGATTGTTGTTTAGAGAGTTGTGTAAAGCAATCCATGTTCTTGTGAGTGATTGCTGAAATAAGAGGTGTATCCGAGATAAATGATTCGTTTGAATCCCTTACTGCAGATTTGTATTGAACTTGTTCTTGCCCCTTTTTGGGGCTTTATAGTAAATTCGAGCAATATTTTGAATCTTAAACTGTGTGTTGTTTTAGTCTGCTTCAATCTATACAGTACGAATTTATGTATGCATATTAATTGTAATATGCAATTTTCTGAATACATATTGTTTATTCAGTATAAACACGTCGAGTGATACATTAGTTGTATGATTTTTTATCTTTTCTCTGTCGTAAGTTCTTGGATATATCTATCTGATTTGTCTGATATTTTTCATCTCGTGCCTTCTGAATTCTTGAGTATTCTTACTGGACTATTACATACTATGACCACTAAGATTGATGTTCAGATGTGTGATGGCAAGGGAGACTTTAGTATCTGGCGCTAGAAAATGAGAGCACTTATGTTGCAACTAAAATGTGCTAAAGCTATAGATGAATTTTGGGCAAAAAATACTCCACTTGAAAGGAAAATTGAATAAGATGAATTAGCTTGGAGCACACTATTCCTTCATCTACCTGACTCTGTAATCAGAAAGGTAGGAGATACTGAAACTGCTGCTGAGTTATGGGTTGCCTTAGAAAAACTATACCTGACTATGACTCTACCGAACAAATGTTTTTTGTAGAAACAATTTTTTAGTCTTAAGTTTGATAATAATGCTAACTTAGAGGAGAATATGGACAAGTTTAATAAGATCTTATAAACTGTGGTGAGAAAATCTCAAGTGATCAGAAAGTAGTTAGTCTACTTAATGCTTTAGGTGATAGATATAAGGATATTAAGAATGCCTTAGAATATGGTAGGGATGACCTGATCGTTGATATAATTCACACTTCTCTAAAGAACAGAGAACTAGAGTTAAAATCAGAGCATAGAGAAGTTCTTCATATTGAGAAATCTCAATCCAATCCTAAACTTCAATCTAAATGTCATAGCAATTTCAATCAGGTCAGTCATAATAAAAACAAGAATTTTTCTAAGAAGAAATGGGAAAATAACAAAAGAAATGACAAGAAAACTGAAAAAGCTAATGATAAGAATAGAAAATGCTATTATTTTGGAAAAACAGGCCACCTTATAAAAGACTGTTTTAAAAGGGCTAATGATCAAAAGAATGAGTCCAATCAAGGTAATAACTCTTCATATGAGCCCCAATCTCAAATGGTTCTCTGATTTTTCTAACCTAAGCGAAGGTTTTGTAAAGCTAGGAAATAATGAACCTTGTGAAGTTAAAGACATTGGGAATATTGTTTTAAAACTTGAAAATAATCCGTTAATACTTTTGAAACATACTAGATATGTTCCTGCCTTGAAAATAAACTTTATTTCCATAGGTGTTCTAGATGATGAAAAATGTCAAATCAAAATGAAAAAAAGGCTTTACAAATATAATCAAATATCATAATCTCATTGTTGGTACACCAAAATATAATGGTATCTATGTGATGAATGTTGAATGTGTCTTCCCTAATAATACTGTGAGCTTAGTGTCTCAATTTGACAAATCAGAATTATGACATAGGATACTAGGTCATCTTGGTGAAAAAGGCCTAAAACTTCTTTCAAAAGAAGGAGTATTTGGGAAGGACAATGTTCCTAAGTTGACATTTTGTGAACATTGTATCATTAGGAAACAAAACAGGTTGCCATTTAAGACAGGGGTTCATAAATCACTAAATACACTTGATTACATACATAGTGATCTATAGGGCCCTACACCTGTTTCTGCAGCCTCTTGCTGTAGATATTATCTTTTTATTATAGATTATTTCTCTAGGAAAACTTGGATCCTTTTATTGAAGAATTGGATACTTTTATAACCTTCAAAAACTGGAAGATATTAATTGAGAATCAAACTGATAAGAAGATAAAGGCACTAAGAACAGATAATGACTTTGAATTCTGTAATGTTGAATTTGATCAGTT